GACACTAAGAAAAAAAATACTGAGGTTTCCCCATAGTTCAATAATTTGTTTAGGTTTTCTTGGTTTAGAATGATCTGTGAACTAGTGCTGTGCCAGCTCAAGGGTATAAGATGCCTCTTGGGCAGGGGTGAAATCCATCAGGTTCTGACAAGTTCTGGAGAATCGGTAGCGGAAATTTTGAGTAGTTTGGAGAACCGGCAAATACCACCTCTGGCTGGCCCCAGAGTGGGGTGGAAATGGAGATTTTGCAGTATCCTTCCCCTGCCATGGCCACCAAGCCACGCACACCAAGCCATGCCCACAGAACTGGTAGTAAAAAAGTTTGGATTTCACCACTGCTCTTGGGTCACTTCCCACAGGTGCAAAACTACATTTATAGAATGATTTGGAAGGAGAGATATTTGGCGCTGTAAGCCAGTATTGATCTGAACAGGCTTACTGTTAACGTTGGGATGGGCAATGTCTTCTAGATCAGGAGCTGGAATTCAATTTTTCAACCTGGCAGGGTGCTGAAAGCCTTCTAGTGAAATAATGGCATAAACTGAAAAGATGGGCCTGAAAGAAAATGAACAATTTTCTGCTCAGCTCTGGAGATAGGTGGGCATCAGAGTGAGAATGAGAGCATTTTTTCCTTACAGAGGAAGTGTGGTTCCAAATCTCCAAAACTGCTGCTGAAAATCAGTATATTACTGTTGTACTATTTTACAAATTTTACTGTTGAATTTCAGTATTGCAGTTGTGGGGTATTCTTGCAGCTGATGTGTTATACAGTCTGGATTATGTTCAAACCAGGTCATTAGATTGTTTCCAACAAATCACAGTGAGGGTGAAAAAAATATTGATTTTATTTATGGATGCCACTTTCTAATTGATTTGACCCACTCTAACGGTGGGAAAGAATTTCAAACTTCTTGAAACTGTGATCTGATCCAGGGGGGATGTTATTTAATTCTTTAACTCAAGGGTGTCAATCTTGATTTCATTGAGAGCTGCATCAGAGTTGTGTTTGACCTCAGGGGGCCAGGGTGGGTGTGGCCAGCTTGACGTCACTAGTGTCAGGGTTGCCTGTGGCGGCCCAACTGCTCTACCAGAGAAAACGGGTTCCCAATCTCTGTTTTTAGCTGGGACGGCCTCCTGCAACCCTCTGTCAGCGAAAACGGAGCTCAGGAGGACCGCGTGCAGCCCTCAGGAACTCTGTTTTCTCTGGAAGAGGGTTGCAGGAGACTGTCCCAGCCGAAAACGGAGATTGGGAGCTGTTTTCACTGGCAAAGGCACCATGGCCAGTCCTTCGCTGTTTCCAGGGCAGCCTCGTGGGCCAGATTTAAGCACCCCTTGGGCCTTCAGTTTGACACCCCTGCTTTAACTCTTCTGTTCTTAACAGAAAACTGCACTTTCTTTGTTTGGAGGCAATAGACTTGCCCAGCAAGGATTGGAACTGAATCCCCTTTTACTAATGGTGACCAAAAGTTAGTTCTTCTAAGGTTCGGAGCTTTGGAGAGATGAGGAGAAGCTAGATTTAGGTTTTCAGCTCCGACTGAATTTTCAGATATATTTAGAACTCTTTGGGCAAGATATTTGAAAGCACTGCAAGTAAACAAAATATGAGGAATTTCTGTTCTAGAAACTAATGGCAGGCAAATTAAGCAAGATCTAAAGGTAAGAGGAAGTGTTTGCCAAGCAAGGAGTGGGAGTTGGTTTCAAGAATCAGTAGCAACATGAATGGAACCATTGAGCCATGAGTAGGAACAGGAGATGACGGGAGCAGTGAAGGAGTGGATCTGAGAGAACATATGGAGAGTGAGGAGCTTGAGAGTAAACGAGGGGAAAACGGGCCAGAACAAGAGAAGTGAGAGGCAACCAGCTTGAATTTATATTTAAAAAGACAACAAACCCAGGAAGAAATTGGAAATAGTTTTCTCAAACCAGCAGTGTCATCAAAATCTTTACCCTTTTTATTTCTAGTGTTTACCCCAAAAAAAAAAAAAAAGTGTTATGATTAGGCAACTGCTCCTATGCATTCCCACTTTCTTTTCCTGTTCATTGACAGTTCCTTGTACTTTCAAACATGTGTTTTATTATGAGACTCATCCAAATTGTGACTTCATTTCATTTCAAATTTATCCTGTCTTCCTATATACTTTTAATGAAATATTGCCAATGAATGTCACAATGACAACAGTGATAAAGTACAAATGAAAAAAAGAAAAAGAAATTAATCTCAGAATGCTTATGGAAAGAGGACGTCTGGAGCTTTTTCAAGCAAGACTTGAATTGTGAAGACGTGTTCTTTCCTAGCATCATTTGCAATGTAATTAGTGAGGAGATGTAGCAGTTTTTAGCCTATTGTCCAGGATGATCTAAACCAGGGGTGTCAAACTCGATTTCATCAGAGTTGTGTTTGACTTTGAGAGGCCAGGGTGGGCATGGCCAGCTTGATGTCACTTGTGTCGGGGGTGCCTGTGGTGGCCTGAGTGTTTTGCCAGCAAAAATGGGCTCCTGAGCTCCGTTTTCAGCTGTGCTGGCCTTGTGCAACCCTCTGCCAGTGAAGACGGAGCTCGGGAGGGCCGCCTGCAGCTCTCCCGAGCTCCATTCTTGCTGGCAGAGGCACTGCGAGCCAGTCCTTTGCTGTTTCCAGGGCAGCCCTGTATGCCAGATCTAAGCACCCCATGGGCCAGATCTGGCCCGCAGGCCTTGAGTTTGACACCCCTGATCTAAACCAAAAGGGTCCAAGAGGAATGGATCATTCCTTGAAGTTGCCAACTTCTGTTTGGTTCTGTGTTGTTGGCTTTTGTATTCATAAGATCCATAGGTAACCTCTGGAAGTGGTATCCGCAATATTCAGTGTGTAGTGTGACTAATGTGTAGAAGACATTACATTTTTGTAATGTCCTATATGGCAGAAATGAATAAAATAAGGGCAAAGAATGATAGGTTCTACTCTGTGTATCTTGCCCCTGACATCACATATCTAATCTAGCCTCCTCTGTGCATTTTCTGCAGATGTGTAAGAGAAACAGTTTCTGAACAGTGGTTTCTCTTCTGAAGTATTCAGATATGGAGTAATAGCGTAATTAAAACCACATGACATTGGGGAGTGCCTGCCATATGCATATATAACGCATGAATAAAGTTGGTTCAGGCTGTGGAAATTCTGAAGTAGTGCAAAGGGTTGGGTGTAGACTTTTTACCCATCAATGTGATTTGTTTTCCTAATTACCAATTAATGTAAGTTCTCTGGGCAGTTGCCAAAACTGCTCAATATTACATCAAGCAACAAAGAAGAGAAATAGATTACAAATTCAGAAATCAAACTGTAAAATATAAATTATTTTAAAGCCCATAATCAGTAATAATATAATAGAATAATACCGGTAATTTAAAAAATTCAGTTGTTTTAAAATAAACACAAGAAACAAATTTCTCCAGTAAATCCAGGTTTATTATTGGGTGCTATGTCAAAAGATCTTCTCACTTAATCGGAGGGGGAAGAGAGGGTATTATACAACCTAATTTGGAGAATATAGAAATTTGGGCAGGAAAATATGGAAAAGGTCAAACTTCTTCCATACAATAGTACCCTGTTTCCCCAAAAATAAGACCTCCCCAGATAATAAGCCCAATCGGGCGTTTGAGCGCATGCGCTAAAATAAGTCCGCCCGCCCCCCCGAAAATAAGTCCTCCCTGAAAATATTTAAACACATACACAACCGGTCCCCGCCATTTCCTCTGGTTAGGGTAGGTAGACAGAGCTAGAAATCAGGTAAGATGGCAAGAGGAGCCCCGTCTTGCTCCACGCGCCCCAAAATAATAAGACCACCTTGAAAAGAAGGCCTAGCGCTTATTTCGGGGTTCAAAAAAATATAAGACAGGGTCTTATTTTCGGGGAAACACGGTACTGATACACACACATAGAAGCTTCAGCTGATGCCAGATTTTTTATACAACCTTGAAAATGATAGAATTACAGTAATTGAACTTGCCAAACAACTATGACTCATAATCAGGAGACTAAGGGTTTCCCAGCTAAATGAGAGTTGCTTGCCTGCACCATCAGTGACTCCAATGACTTCAGAGCAATTGCAACCCCTTTTGTGTTTGCTGAGACTAAAAGAAAGTGATGCTGTTCTGACATTGGGTGATGTATCATCAGATGAATTTCATTACATACCCAGAATTTTTACAAGCCTCATAAACTTCAGAATGAGATAGAAGTTTTAAAAGGGTTGATGGTCTCGATTAGCTCAACAGAATGAACGTAAATGGATGCTTGGTGAATGATGTAGGGTGGCTTGTTCCCTAATAATGATTTAAAATGTCACATTTTGCATTTTCATGGCATATTTTTTATAAAAATTGAACAAACGTGTCTGAATTTCTGTAGATTTTCTGTTAATACTGTTCTTCTCCAATGTATTCCAATATTTTAGTAATGACAGCTACTTTGCTGTAGTGATTAAGTCACCAGACTAGGAACCAGGAGATGCTAGACCAATCTTAGGCATAAAGTCAGCTGGGTGACCTTGGGCCAGTCACTTTTTTCAGCCCTAGGAAGGCGACAATGGCAAGCCAGCCAAGATTTGCCAAGAAAACTGCCGGACACAACATAACGGAAGAAAATGTGTTTTTGTATGTATGTGTGTATCAGTAGTATTATAAGAGACACATGCAAGTATGACATAGGGGTTGTACTATTGCCATGTTATTTGAAAGGCTTAAGAAATGTCAGACTATTATCACTTGACTCTCAGACTCCATAACAGAATGTTTTTGAAAGCAACAGATGTTCCTTATTTTCTCTGTTTAACCATCAACTTGGGAAAAAAGATATGCAATGTTAATCAGGATTTATAATGTCATGAGCAGGCTACCTCTGTTCATTCATAGCTCAATTAGCACCTCTCAGGGATCTTGTCCAAATTCCCCAGACTGTAGCACTTGCACATTTCTATGTAAATAACCGCTCAGTTTTGCATATGTTAAAAATCTTCCTTCTGTTTCAGCAATCCCTTTCCCATCTCTCAATGTGACAGTCACTAACATCACCAGCAACAATGCCAGTGTCACTTGGCAACCCGGATTCGATGGCCTTTCCCCCCTACACTCTTGTGCAGTACAGGTATGAAATGATTACATATATGTCCTTCTTGAGACTAAACTGCTAAACATTTTTGCATGACAGAACTTGTTTTCTAATTTGAGCTTCCACTGTTATAAACAATGGAGCTTTATAAATTCCCCATTACTTAATCTAATGTTATTTGATTGACTTTGTCACAAACAGCAGACGAGGGAAAAAGTTAATCTGCATTCAAACAGACTTCTAATTCTGGGTCCAGACCTTGATAAAATGCTAAGGATCAGAATGAAGTTGTTGTAGGGAAAATAGGAGGAGGAAAGAGTATTAGGTATGTTAGCCACCTTGATTTATTTATGGAAATAATAAAGGTGGGATAAAAAATATCTAAAGGAGAGAAAAAGAGAGAGGGGGAGGGTGGGAGAGAGAGAGAATGAGAGAGAGAGAGAGAGAGAGAGAGAGAATAAAATCTTGTTCAGAAGTGTGGACTGTGAGCCAAATTGGAATTGGTATATCTTTAAAACTACTGATATGCAGGCAACAAGGGGTTTCGACTTGAAGGCAGAGATGGCCTGATAGGCCTTTGAATCCTTTAAATGTCAAAGGACATTATTTGATCCCATTTGTCATCAAATCCTAGAAAATATGGTATCTTTTTAATGCCATAATTACCGGTAAATATATATAATTGGGATCATATTTAATATTATGGATAACTGAGGCTAGCGTATTGCTGTTAATTTTTTTCCCCAAAAATAAAAAAGCGAATAAAATGGACTTTACTTTTACTTTACTGAATCTTACAGCTTCATTAGGTTCTACCAGTCAAGCTTTCGTTTCTACCTTTCATATTCAGTGTTGGAACAAGTTATAATTCTGTCTTACATGCCCTGGTTTTACAAAGACTGCAGGTTTCATCTGGACATCTCGTCACCATGAGTGACAAAACTGCCCTTTGAAATGGCATAGGAGGATGCTAATGGGGCGTCTTTACTGCAGGAAAGGGGAGGAATAAAAACATTCCCAGATGTAAGAGTTTTTGCCAATGAGGAAACATTTGGCCCATAACTCCATAGGAAACGTTATAAAGCATTTCTGAAGCTATATTGTTGTGGAGCTCCAGGAAGAAATATATAAATCATGAACGGACCATTTCACGTTTGAGTTTCAGATAAAGGCAGAGAACTTGAGGGATTTTCTGCTTCAAGTACAAAAATCACTTAGGTGTTGGCGATATTGCAGAAAGGCTGAGGAACATGTGCCTGCTCCTGCTATGTCTCAAGCGTCAAATCTTCTGAGGCCTGTCCCAACAAGAATCACTGAACAATAGGCAATAACAAGCTTTGCAACCTGATCATGCATTGGAGCAATTGATTGTGGTAATTGCGTTTCAGATTGAACCAGTTCACACAGTTCTCCGATGTGCTGTTGTCAAAACTGAGCTGCAGGTGTCCCTGAAGCAGAAACACCGGAGGCCAAAGTCCTGAGGGCGTGGCAGAATCAAGAATAAGAAACAGCACACAAAATAAGGGTGGAGAACTTTTTTCACTTTGAGGCATACATACACTCATAAGATGTGCATTCATTCCATGGCTGCATTCCAGCAGTGGGCAAACCAAAGCCAAAATTGGGGTTGACCAAAGTAACACCTACGAATTCCTGTTATACTTATACTCATCCTGAAATGAAGAAGCTGAGACTTAATTTATACCATGAAGATACTGTCTGTAGGAAAGAAGACCCTGTGAAATAGACATTTGCAGTTGTTATTAGAGATGTTGTCAGACCTGGAAGCCATCTTTTACAATTGAATGTTATTTTGACTACACATCACCCACACTCTATACCAGGGCTGGGCAATTATAGCCCTTTTATGAACTGTGGACTTCAATTCCCAGAATTCCTGAGCCAGCATGCTGGCTCAGGAATTCTGGGAGCTGAAGTCCATAGGTCATAAAGGGGCCATAGTCGCCCAGCCCTGCTCTATACAATCCCCCCTTCCCAGTTTCCCAATTTTGACTTCTAAAATTCAAATATACAGTGTAGGAGTTCTCCTAAGTTTTTAATGTAGAGACAACCTTGGTGATGGCAGTAATTTTTTTCTGAGATGATCTGCTCTACCAGCTATGGCCCTGTCTAGAGAAGATCTATGCATGGATTTAACATTTAGGTTGGACTGCTGTAATTTACTCTACCTGGATTTGTTCTTGAAATTTTCAAAGATTGGAATTTTCTGTTGATGAGAAAGTGGCTAAATTTATTCGTTCAGATGTTGCCTATATTCTGCAAAGTTTTGGGCGGGTATAAATAGTTCAAAATCTTATTGCCACTACTCCAAAATTATAAATTTAGACTTTGTATGCTGAGGTTCTCTCTACTCTAGTTCTTCTTGTGGTAGGGAGGGAGGAGAGTATTATAGCCAGTCCCTTTGTTTACTGTTAGTAGATCATTCAACATTTTATTTAACAAGACCACATTGTCTGAATAGATCAGGGGTGTCAAACTCAAGGCCCGCAGGCCAGATCTGGCCTGTGGGGTGCTTAGATCTGGCCCGTGGGGCCGCCCTGGAAACAGTAACGACTGGTGCCTCTACCAGCGAAAATGGAGCTCAGGAGCCCGTTTTTGCTGGCAGAGCTCTCGGGCCACCACAGGCGCCCCCAATACGAGTGACGTCAAGCTGGCCACATCCACCCTGGCCCCCTGAGGTCAAACACAACTCAATGAAATCAAGTTTGACACCCCTATTAATATTAATATTAATATAAACTGTTTGTCAAAAGGTTCAGAACTTCACATTTATAATCAGAATTGGTTTCTTTTTTTCAGTGTTTTGCCAGCACTATCCAATCACAATGACCAAATGTCTGCTGCCAGTTGTGTGTGTGTGCATGCATGCACATCTCTCCAGTTTGTTATCTTTCTGTCCTCTTATAGGAAGTGCCCTCTTAACTCTTCATTTGCCTTAGTAGGGTGTAAGTGCTCTATTGTTTCATCACATTGGTCACCCAAGTAACCATGGAATCAGATGATGCTGGTACTTTTGCTAGCTGTTCTGGTTGCCATTGAACTCTGATTTTGGTTCAAAGTACCGGTTAGGCTCTAAAACTTAAATGGTTTGAGGCCAAATTACCCAAAGGATTTTTTTCCCCTCTGCATTTAGGTTTACAAGATTTGTGCTGAGCTGCCTGACTCTGAAACAAGTGTAAAGGGAAAATCCCTTTCAGCTGTCTTCTGTTGGGTGAAATCCCTTTCTTTCAGGTCTGGGAAATCACATAAAGCTCACTTATTCTAGTGACTTTCTTTTAAACAAGTTGAGTTGGCATGATAAATGTAACTCTTTATGGATTTTTAAACTGGACAGTTAAATTTTATTTGTTAGTGTCCTACAGCTTATTTGGGCACTGGAGATTTTTGTTTATTTCCCGAATACTTGAAAATTGCCTTGAAAAGTTTTACCGTAGAGCGAAGAAATGATTGGAAAACAATAATGTCTGGTGATAGCATCATACAAATATATCTATGTACAGTATATATTTAGATCTGTTGGCCACCAATCACTGCAACATACGTACTTGTGTCAGATATTGGAATGCAAGTACATAATTTACAATAGCTTACACACCCATGATATCATTTTGTTGTCATCATGGCTTGTGGTAGATGCTACTGCTAAAGATGCTGATCACAAAGAGTTAGGTTTGGAAAAGCTTCCTAGATTCCTCAGTTGATGGGTGTTTTTCAAGCCTCTTTGACAATACAGTTTTAGAAGACCAACTGCAGTCCAGTAGGAAGAAAAAATTAACTCTTCCCTTCCAGGAGCAGCACATTAGAAACAGCCTTTTTTCCCCAAGAAAATATTCAAGTCTTTTTCTTCTTTATTATTACTTTGATTAATTTTGCTTAAAATTTTATCTCTGACTTGTATCTGCTCCTTGTGTTAATTTAGTGTAACACACCAAAAAACTTTTAGTGTCGATGGAGGGCTTTTTTTTGATAGCAACTGAGATGATGGGAAAGGACTATAGATCCTTCTGGTTGACTAGGCAAGAAACTGCAAGAATAGCTTTCCAAAGATACAGAAACATCAGCTAAGTAGATTTGTTGTTGAGGAGCTAACAAAGCCATTATAAAAAAAAATCCAGGAACTTACATGGAGTACAATTGGCTAGAAACAGGAAAGATAATTTCACCTGGGCTTTGTTTTGGAAATGGATTGGTGTGGCACGAAGCTGTTTACTTGTGACTTTCAGAGAAATGACTGGGCTGGAGTTTTGCAATCCTTGAAGCAAATGCTATATATATATTGAAGTAAGTAGTATGTTTTATATTTCTTGCTGCGGAAAGCCATGAGTCAGCCTGGACAGATGAGTTCAGCACTGCAAATTTATTATGGGTTTAGTTCTTCAGTCTGGGCATCTATAAGGAGAGATGAGAATTTCAGCTGAGAATTCAAGCCCCCTTATTCTAAATGACCAGACTATAGATTAATGTAGACTCCTCCAGGGAGTTGTTATAGCAATCAGTATTCTTAAATTAAAAAAAAAAAAAACTTCTTCCAAAATATTTGAGTGATTGCTTGATTAAGATAAAAATGTCTCTCTTAAGGCATTGATTTGTGGTGACTGCATGGACACAACTATGATTAGGACTAATCAAGCTGACAGAACAAGGAGTTTGAGGGATGTTACAGAAACAGAAGTGGGGAAGAAAGAAAGAAAAACGGAACGGTTGTTTTTAAAGCCTCGGGTTTTTAAAGATTTAGCTCAGTCCTGTGATGGAGCCATGGACTAAATGCAATTTCTCCATGTGCTTTTGGCCACAGTTTATACTTAATCCTGAGGGACAAAGAAAACTGTAACTTTGAAAGCATGAGCAACCAGGTAGAGGCTGTAGTTTGTCTATTTTATTCAGTTTCATTAGAGATGCAGAATGCCCTCTTACCAATGATTTTCAAGAAACCAAGGAGGCCTTTGAGCTAATGGCACTACCCCTACTCCTTGCATGCAACCCTCCCCTGCACGGTGTTTATTGCTGTTTTCTTGGGACACTTGACAGATCAGAATGAATTTCCTCTTGCACATTAGAATTCTGCCTGCTTGTACTAGGTACAGCCTATTCTTCCTAATGTGCACGTCCATCGGTCACCGCACACAGTGCTAATCTCTCTAAGTTCCAGGCTCCTCCCTACAACCATTTTTTCCACGGCTGAAATGGAGAGAGACAGAAGCAAATTGCAAACTTCTTAGACAGTGGATCCCATCCCCATCCCCCTTTATATCCATTTCTGTCCCATGCTGGGAAAAACAAAGAAGCATTTCATTCTCTGATCTGTCAAGTTTAGTGAGGCAACCATGATTTAGTATAAAAAGATCAACTGGAGCTGAGAGTTACCACAGCAAAGAAATGAAAATGTGCAGTTAACTTGTAAACATTACTGCCTTCTGAGTCATCTTTCTACTACTAGCAGTCCCTGGTGCTTGCAGGAAAGGAAGGGTTGTTATTTTTCTAGGGCTGGAGAAAATACATGCCTGTAAAGACGCCATTATGAAAAGCAGGCTCACTCATACTGTCATCTCTGGCCATAATGCATACAGTACAGAGGTATACAGACTGCAGAGTCTGTTTCATTGGAGTTGATGCTGGAACAAAAGATATGTGTGGATGCCTAACGTGAAATAAATGTGTGTGTGTGTGTGTGTTTAATAATAATTGTTTGACTAATTGAACAGGTTTCTCCTTGAAACTAAGAGAGATGTATGACGTGAAAAAAGAGAAGCAATAAAAATGTGCAAAATAGGTTGGTAAAAAAAAAAAAGACACCAAAGTCCAAACTCTAGTTAGCCAGAAAGATTAAAAACTGCACCTAGATGCAAGGGTTATTTTCATGTACCAGTTTTCCACCTCTTGTTTTTTTTTTATAGGCAATAATTATTATTATATTGTCTACTTTCCCATTCCCATTTATTAATCTATTTTATATATATTTGCTAATGTTTACCTCATCATCCTTCATCTTTAACCATCATCTCAATATCTTTTTAGCATCCCATTTTCCAATAATTTTTTGCATGACCATTTATTTTGGTCTAATTTCTCGATTCTCTCTTTTTTCTTTTTATATATGTTACATTTCATCTTCTGGCTTCCTTTTGTGTTTTTTTTTTTTTTTTTTTTGTATTGTTTGAACATCCCTCACCAAAGTTTTCCCTTGTCTCTTCCAGAATTTCCTCTTTTCCTCTTTTGTTTGTTTCTTTTTTAGAAACAAACTTTCTCCCCTTTCTCTCTGCTCTTTTGACATTCCCAAATGTTTCTGTAATATTTTTTATCTGATTTCTATTTTTTGATACTTTCTCTTCAACATTGTTAATTTCTTTTCTTCTTTAAAATTAAAATGTTCTTCTCAATTATTAATTATTATCCAAATTCAGCAACAGTCAAATCCAATTATGAAGCTATCTTCCAGAAGAGAAGGGAGATAAAACAACCACCCAGATGTAAAACACAGTCACTCCTTAAATGTTCTCACAGTGTCCAACTTTTCTTCTTCTATATGGCCAAGGTTGAAATTTCCAGCTGCTATTTCTTCTGTTTTGTCTATTTGAATAGAATATTACAGTACTTTTTTTCCCTCCAGCAGATGGCACTCTCCATTTCTACTCCGTTATCAAATAGTCTATTTAATCCAATTGTTTATCAAATAATTTTTTAAAGTTCTCTTGTGAATTATTGTTATCTTCCAAAAATCATTTTTCTCCCTTTTAAAATCTTTTGCTTTCCCCAAATTTCCAAATCCAAGACTTCCTCTTAAATTCTTTATATTACAGTTCACGCTTTCTCTTTGTTCTGTGTGTGTGATTTCCACCCCCCCTCCCAAATGCCAGATAGCCGCTAGTCCAAGCTCCAGAATTCTTTTAAAACTTCAATTTCAACTTTTCTTAATATAATTTGGCACTTATTTCACCCAGTTCTAGTACTCCATCCAGTGCTACTCCTGCACAATTCTTAGGTTCAGTTGTCCCAGCTTCAAGGTGGCCACCCTAAGATGGCCGCCGCCCCTGCTGCCGCTTTGGGAGAGCTGTTTCTGTTCCAGCAAGGAAATTGCCAATTCCTTGTGGTCCACGAAACACCTCTCCTTTCTTCATCGTCCCTACAGGACGGCTATGGCTCAAGAGCCTCCCGGCAGCGGTTCTTCTGGCTGGATTTCGCGTGGCTCATCAGAGCCCGATATTTTCCAGTCCGTTCCCACTGTGACGTCAACCGGAAGTCCTCCACTTCTTGTTGATCTCCACAGGTGACCCTTATCACCATGCTGACTGTGCAATTGAGATTGTTGGGGGTGTTCCTTGGAACCCTGACAGTGACTGCAATTCCAAGAATTCTCACCTGTGAGATCTCAGAACTATTGTAGGACATAATGAGATTTCTCATTTTTTCCATTAGTGCAGTTCGTTGCAGTTTTACTGAAGCTATAAGGGTGGGGGGAGGAAATGGTTCTGGTTGTATTTATGGAATACACTTGTTTGTTCTTTAAGGCCCATGAAACATTGGCAGTAGCTTTCAAAATACTAGATTACTCTAGTCTCAAATTTTTGGTCCTTGTATGCTTGCTATTATCATTATGCTAATGTTTTGATTATTCTAGCATTTTCTTCTGTTTCACAGGATTCAACTGTTTGAAGGATTCGTCACTGCATGTCAGTGGCCCAAAGCCAAGATGATGTGTAATATATCATTTATTTGATGCAACTCTTCTAAGGATTTATGAGTGTCTTCAATGACGCATTTTATGTGAAATCCATGCATCTGTTTGTTCATGTTTTTGCTTTATCCCTTTATCCTAACAGGTGGCTGACCTGCAGGAAGAGGATGAGGTGGTCACTGAAGTTTTCTCTGTCCCTCCCTTTACAAGGGTTTTACCAGATTTAAAGCATGCCACCAATTACAGTGTTCGAGTTCAGTGCTCTAATGAGATGGGCAGCTCTCCTTTTTCAGATTGGGTCTATTTTCAGACCTTGGGATTAGGTAAGATTTAGAGGGCTAGAGTGTATGAAACTCTTAAAAAGTATTGTTTTTTGTTGAATCAGAAAACATTTGGAAAATAGCAACTCTCCTGATTAATTGAACAGATATACTGCATGTCTGATTAAACAAAGATTGCAAGGAATGTGCAAAACTCAGGGCTGGTTCAAGCAATCAATCATCAGCCTCCATGGTTGTTGCTCTCTATTGTACAGTTAATTGGAAACTCTGAAGCTGTTATTAGTTCTTCCAAGTAGAATAGAATAGAATTCTTTATTGGCCAAGTGTGATTGGACACACATCTGGATAAAATGGATATTTCAGTGTTTAGAGCTTGTTGAAAAGGTGGGAAACCTTTTAGAACAAGGGTCTCCAACCTTGGCAACTTTAAGATTTGTAGACTTCAACTTTGCATCTAGGTGCAAAGCTGGCAGAGGAATTCTGGGAGTGGAAGTCCACAAGTCTTAAAGTTGCCAAGGTTGGGGACCCCTGTTTTAGAAGACTGTGTAGAACTTAACCACGAATTTAATAAATAATTATTAATAGTATTTAAGATATCTTTAGGATTTCCTAAAGCTCTTCTGTACTTTGAGGCTTACCATTCAGTAGTACTCTTTTAAACAGCACAACAGATACATTGCGATTTTCTTTCCCTTGCAGCTCCAAATTGTACTCCACAAAATGTACACATTATCCAAAGAGATTCTTGTCTGATTTTGGAATGGGAAGCAGTAGCTCCAGAAATGTTTGGGGAGAATGCCTTAGGATACAGGTTGGAGTGGATCCAAGATAACATAACTCAGGTAATAAACCGAGAAACATATGCTCTTGGTGGAGCAAGACAAAGTCTATTTAGGAGAATCTTTTCTAACCTTATAGCCTGCAGATGGATTGCTCCTCAACTCCCATCATCCTTTAGCTAGCTAGTGGTCAAGCAGGAAACCATAGTAATGACTGTCCAATATGCTTAAATTCCCAAACACAGAAGTTTAATTAACCCATAGATCCTTATTACGTGTGTTAAATGACCTTCATAAATTGAAAATGTTGCTAATAGATTTCATTGTGGCAGTGAGTTCTAAACAGTAATAATTTGAATGATTAAAAAAGCAGCTTGGTTAAAATGAACTACCAATAAAAGCAGTTGGGCCTCCATATTGGTAAGATGTGCATTCACAGATTTGTGTTTTTATGGTGGCAGTTGCGAAATTTATCATACTAAAAATTTGGCTGCTCCTTGTTGCATATGCTATGTAATGGTGTTCAGTTTCACAGTGAGAAATGTTTCTTTGTGTACTGTCTGTGCATTTATTCTACATCTGGTTTTGTTTAACTTGCTGATTAAAGCTGGAGAATTATTCTCTCCTCAAAAAATTAGAACAAATACTTAAAAAGTGGAGGCATTTCAAACGTGTCCCCAGATATAATTCATATCATCACAGACAGACCTGGATTTAGTCTTGGGGAGTATAAATTAAAAATTAGCCACTCTGATAGGAATAGATTTGCTAGTATGGCTGAAAGCAAGAAATATTAGGGATTAAAGAGGTAATGCTAGTTCTTTTAAGGCATACCTAAATGTAGGAAGCCTTACAATTTTCATGCTTGGGATGGGCTTCTCTTCACGGCAGCTTAGATATTAGACATGCATATTGTATTTGCTCTTTGGACTGCAAAAACTGTGCAAGGAATAGGATAGCAAGACTAAAAAGTTGTCTGCCACAACATGAATTTTCCAGTTTAATGCCCTACTACTTCACATACTCTTTTACCAGTGAGAGACTGAGGATCACTTGTTCTGTTACCTAGTACTACTGATTTTTGCAAATTTGAATGCCAGATATAAATTGTATTTTGTGCCCAGTTTTTTTTTAACTTAGCAATGATAGGACTATTGTCTACCAATGCATTTGGTCAGCTATTTTTAGGGAACCGAATCTGGGTTCTGTTAACTGATATTACACTGCTCCTTTCTTTTAATAACAATGGTAATAGTTTGCTGATACCGTGTTTTCCCAAAAATAAGACGCTGTCTTATATTTTTTTGAACCCTGAAATAAGCGCTTGGCCTTATTGCCATGTACTCAAAAGCCTGATTGGGCTTATTATCAGGGGATGTCTTATTTTGGGGGAAACAGGGTATAGCAAACAATTGAGATACAAGTGGCCCCAGACAAACATACACCAATCATATATGCAGGAGATATCTGGGAAGGAAGATTTAATTCTTACGACAATAGAATTAAATTTCTTCCATTATTGTATGGATGACATTTTATTTCTAAGCTAAAAAAAGAAGTATTTTGTGCAATAATTCCATCCTTACATGGAATTAGGCTCGGCTCAGAGACCACAGTTCAATTGTGCAATAAATAATACCTCAATTTAGTGTAAAACCAAATCATCAGTTATTTACTATGTATGACAAAGACTATGCATGAGTCTTGATTTCCGGGCTTTGAAGCACAGAATTTATTTGATGAAAACCAATGAATTTCATAAAGGTGGGAAATCAGGCAATGACAGCAAGTAGCTTCACTGGGTGGAACAATTCACACTCTGAATTGCCCTAGAATAGCTTTGCTTATCAATGCAAACTGTGCAGGCAAGCACAGGCTGTACAGGAGGTGCCAGAAGCACAAATAACTTCTTATGGTTGTAGCCAGTACTGTCTTCTGGAAAGGGCAGATAACAATAGACTTTGCAAGAAACCATAATCTCAAGATTACTAGATAACGTGGAACAGAAGAAATTGATTTTGTGATTCAAAGGTAATAATGAACAAGTGTCACTTGAATGACAATGCACCATTTGTGGTTTTCTGGTTACAGGGGGAAATGATTGTGAAGGAAGCAAGAGCTAACCTTTCTATGTGGAACCCCTTAAAAGACCTTATAATCAAGGTCTGCATACTCAGTTCAGCCGGTTGTGGACCTTGGAGTGAGCCCTTACTGCTTACATCCCAAGATTTAATAGGTAGGTGGCAAATGTAGGAAGCGTTTGTGTTTGAGGAAAATGGGCTGTTGTTAATATGGTGCATCAGATGAGGAACAGGGAGAGAGCTGGTACCATTGTATTTCTCTGGCTGTGCTCTTTCCAATATTCCCAGCTGCATATGTATTATGTTTTCACAGATGAGAACCAAGCAGCTTCAAACAATCTAGCAGAAGCAGGGACTGGCTGGGACTATTACAAATTTTCTGTGTAAGGGAACGTTTGACATAGGAAGGAAAAGAGCAATACAATACAATTGGCTCCCCTACTATTCTTTGGTGTTACTGTATTATTAAAAACGATTGAAAGAATCTGTGAGCATGATATGGCCTAGATCAGGGCTGTCAAACTCCCGGCCCGCAGGCCAGATGCGTCGCGCGTTGGCCATGCCCATGCCCAGTTTAGAGAAGTGGGGGAAAGTCCCGATACATTACGTGATGCCACCATGACAACGTGGGTTTGACGCCTCTGGCCTAGATGAATAGAAATAATATTTTCTGCATTTGAATTTTTTTTTTCCTGAATAGGTTATAAGGATTCCCAGATCAGGGTATCTGACAGTTTTTGCTTTTAATTATAAAAGAATTATAGGAAACTATTGTTAATTGCTTATCTTTCGAATTACAGCAATATGTAATTATTGCATTGCAAATACTATATAAACATTGTACTATGTTCAATTATGATAGATTATCTTAAATTTAATCATACATTGTACAGGTAGTCTTCAACTTATGACCACAATTGAGCCTAAAATTTCTAAGAGTTGTTAAGTGTTAAGTGAGACATTTGTTACGTGAGTTTTGCCCCATTTTACGATTTTTCTTGCCATGGTTGTTAAAATTGGGCCTGGTGGCTCAGCATTGTGATTAACACCATCTGTCTGCAATTACTGTAAGTTCGAATCTCACCAGGCTCAAGGTTGACTCAGCCTTCCATCCTTTCTAAGGTAGGTAAATTGAGGACCCAGTTTGTGGGGGCAATAAGCTGACCTTGTATAAATATACAAAAGTATGAAGGCTATTGCTTAACGCATTGTAAGCCGCCCTGAGTCTCTGGAGAAGGGTGGCATATAAATCAAAAAAAATTTTTTTAAATGAATCACTGCAGTTCTTAGGTTAGTAAAATGGTTGTTAAGTGAATCTGCCTTCCCCATTGACTTTGCTAGTCAGAAGGTCACCCAAAAGGTGATCACATGACCTAGGGACGCTGCAACTGTCATAAACGTGAGTCAGTTGCCAAGCATCTGAATTTTGATCACACGACCATGGGGATGCTGCAATGGTTCTAAGCGTGAAAAATATTCATAAGTCCCTTTTCTCAGTAACATAACTTTGAACGGTCACTAAATGAATTGCTGTAAGTCAAGGACTGCCTATAATATAAGTATTATAGAGTATGGATATAAAATGGAGGAGTATGGAATTGTTCCGAATGGAAACAGCTGATTTTTCATTTCTTCCTCGAAGTTTCCCGCAGCGTTTCCAGCATGGGTATATTTTCTCAAACCAGAGGAAAACAGATTTTTGATATGTAAAAGCTACAGTTAACATTTCAGAGGAACTAAAAACCACACTGGGTGGAGTGATATGTTTGTGTTAGGCATAACACAACTTGCAAACATCTCCAAGATAAAGTTGGCGTCATGTTCCAGCTGCATCTTTATTATTTATTAGTCCAATTTGTATGCCACCCTTTCTCCGTAGACTCAGGGTGTCTTACAATGCATTATAGCAATAGCCTGCATACTTTTATGTATATACCTGCTTATTAGGGCTTTCGGCCCCTGTTAAGCGGTGTTGTTCTATACAAAGCTGGCTTATTGCCCCCACAATCCAGGTCCTCAATTTACCTACCTCGAAAGGATGGAAGGCTGAGTCAACCTTGAGCCTGGTGAGATTTGAACTCGCACTAATTGCAGGCAGCTGGCAGCTAAGTGCTAGCACTTAACAGCACTTAGTCCGCTGCACCACCGAGGCTCTTTGAACAATCGGCCTTTGCCTAAGAACAAAATTAGCAAGATTGATGAAACCCAAGGCCCAGCATGTTTAGCCTTCTCTTCTAAGGATGGCTAGTCCAGAAACTGACCAAATGGAGATGTACCACTTCGAACCTTGCAGAACAGCAGCTTTGGCTGTGCTGCTACATCGTTTTAGAATGATTTAGAATATGACTAGTGAACCTCTTTCTAGGAGTGAACCTCTTTCATGGATGAAAATGCGTATATAGGCTAAACATTTCGCTTTCTCACAAGGATTGTATTTTCTCAACAGGGGGGCAAAGGCAGCCTCTTTATGGAACATCCTGGGTTCCTGTGGTTTTAGGAATTCTGACGGCACTGGTTACAGCAGTTGCCTTAGCCCTAATTCTTCTACGGAAAAGAAGAAAAGAAACTCGGTTTGGGTAAAAGTCTTGTTTTCCTTTTTTTTGCTGTTTATCATCCCCATTGTAATTTCAGCATCCCTTTGTGCAGAGATCCTCAAAATGTTGCCCCCTGACATGTCAGCGGGAATTCCTTAGCTGACGTAGCCTTTAACCATGTCAAGCATTTCATTTTCACTGTATGTTTTGTATACCCTTTGATATTCTTTTTCATATTTCTCTCTCTCTCCTTCTCTCTCTCTCACACACACACAAAGACAGATGTCGGTATGGAAAATATGATAGTCCTTGTCCTCCTGATTGAGAATTGCAATCTTAAAATATCTGCTTTGTGGAATGGAAAGATGGATGACCTAATCCGTCTTTCCATTCCACAAACCAGCCCTCCAGATAAAAACCTGTAGAATTGGCTTCTCGGATTCCCCTGTGCCACTGACTATATAACACCTTTGCCAGTAAGATGGTAGGGAAAGAAAGAACCATAAGAAGAGAGTGGCATAGGTAATAATGAAGAAGAAGCAGTAGATTAAGCCTTAGAGGAATGCCATTTTCCCACCCTTACAATACTGTATCGTACATGTAACCATTTCCCAGAGACCCTTTGGAAGTATGAAAGAATTTTCCTGGGTCTTCTGATGTTTTGCACGGCCTCAGGAAAAAAAAAAAAATTGCCAAGATAAAGAGGCTCTTAGCTGTTGTCTGTAGTAAGTACTGTATATAACGTAGGTTTTCTGGTACTCTGCTTTGCATATTTTATGAGATGTTCTTTGCTTTCCCCCCTCTCCTATTTAGTCAAGCCTTTGGCAGTGTGGTCGGAGGTGATCCTGTAGTCCATTTCAGAGCAGTGCGATCATTCAACCGAGAAGTCCCAGAGCTTATTGAAGTAACATGTAAGTAAAATATATGTGACTCTTTCCTCAGCAAGTGTATTTCCATTCCCTTAGCTAAAGTGCTGTTCTCTTCCTCCTTCAAACCATTTCCTAATAACACTGTGATGATGATGATGATGATGATGATGATGATGATGATGATGATGATGATGATTATACATGTAATATTCTATTCAGTTTGCTCCCACAGAGAGGGACTCCTCGGTACCGTCGGCCAAGTTATGTCGGCTGGCGACACCCAGGAGGAGAGCCTTCTCTGTCGGAGCTCCTGCCCTTTGGAATGAATTGCCCCTGGATATTCATAACATCTCTGACTCCGGGTCTTTCGCTGTGCCCTCAAGACCCTACTGTTCCGACAGGCCGGGCTGTCTAACTGAATGATTTTAAATTGGGTTTTAATTTTGGGTTTTAAAATTCGGCCAAAACTATTTAATGATTTTAATTAATTTTAACTATGATATTGTATATTTATATTTTAATTTGGCTGTACACTGCCCCAAGTCCTTCGGGAGAAGGGCAGTATATAAATAAAATTATTATTATTATTATTATTATTATTATTATTATTATTATTATTGTTGTTGTTGTTGTTGTTGTTGTTGTTGTTGTTGTTGTTGTTATTGTTATTCATTTGCCAAATTGAAAGACTAGATAAGACCATGCCTTATGCAAAATTGGTACCCCTATCCATGCTCCTTTGACTTCTGTAGGGGGGAAGTCCTACAAAACTGGATTACCATGTCATCAAGGACCTGTTTTCATTCTGCTTCTTTTTAGCTGAATCCTGATTCAAATTATTTATGAGTAAAATGAATATCTTATGCACGTTCATTCAGGTATAAATCCAGCTGACCATAGAGACCCTTGTTCTCACATAAACTGTGGAGGATGCTCAAACTCTGAAGTTTGAAGCAGTGATAGACTTTTGTACTATATTTCAAATCAGAGTTCAGCTATTGTGCTGCTGTTTGGAACCTGATTATAGCATAAAAGCTAGGGCTTGCCATCTTCAGACTGAAGCATAAATTGCTATCTTTGAGATTGATTCACAGACACTGTTTAAAACGATCTTTTCCCACTTGTATTCTCCAGACTGTAACTCCCAGAATTGCCAGTCATTAAGTAGAGATGACCAGGATGGGAATGGCTGGATTTTAAACTCGTATTTTCTATCATTTGAGGAAAGTAGTGCAAATAATTTGAAACACTGAAATGTTTTAGCACTGAAAAAAGCAATTTTATTGCATCTTTGTTGCTTTATATCTTTTATAAGACTAAAGAAAGGTATCACTTCCTAGGGAGTAAGAGTGAATTTATTTCCAAAACAAATTCTTTGTTTTGGTTTGTTCATTTTTCATACACTCTTACTTAGTGTTCCTCAAACTGCTACCCTTCAGTGCATCTAACCTTAATTCCTATGTTTTCCACTCATGGTATCAAAAGCTATGCTAGATGCCAAATATAATGGGAGCTTGTAATTTAACGCATCTCAATGCCCAAGGTGAGGGAAGATTATTCTAAACTATGCAACATTAACTGTTCCTTGGATCAAAAGTATATCAATCTATACCATGATTAAAGCTAGATTTTTGTCATGGTTAAGTTACCCTTGTTTTCTTCTGTTTATCCAGTGGACAGTATAGGAATCAGTGATGAATTGAAGACGAAATTGAAAGATGTCTTAATTCAGGAGCAGCAGTTTACTCTGGGAAGAATGCTAGGCAAGGGTGAGTAGTCCCTCAAAGCAGGGGTGAAATTCAAAATTTTTCCCTACTGGTTCTGTGGGCATAGCTTGGTGGGCATGGCAGGGGAAGGATACTGCAAAATCTCCATTCCCTCCTCACTCTGGGGCCAGCAAAAGGTGGTATTTGCCAGTTCTCCGAACTACTCAAACTTTCCGCTACCAGTTCTCCAGAACCTGCTGGATTTCACCTCTGCCTCAAAGCTTATGGAAAATGCATTTACTGTTTAAGCTCAGTCCCTATATTGTCATTTGCAAATATCTGATTTCTAAGGATTTAGCAACATTAAATGGCAGAAACCTAAACTGCAATAGTTACAACTGAATGTAACTAGGAACTGGAACTTTAGATTGGGAATACTGATAATTCTATACTTTTAGAAAAGAACAGAGACTGACAGATTGAATTATCTGGGGCTAAAAATGCAGGTCTGCCTGTACATTGCGATTATTAGAAGCATTTGTGAGAGCATAAGGAACACACCGTGTCAAAGAATATGAAAGTTAAAAAAAAAACAAAGAACAATAGCATAAAAGTGGAATTGGAGAATGTGTTTACAATATGTGTGAAAGCTGCAGGAAATGAATAGAAGGAAAGCTAATAGGGAAGTGGAAAGTACAAGGGTTATGGCAGCAGAAATATTTTTGGAGGATCAAGATAGATTTAGGAAGATTATTGCTGTAGCCTGTTACTAGCACCCTATCAAACCTCCAGCTATGCAATGCAGTTAAAACTATTTTATGTCCTATTATTCCAGCATAAGTTGGCTATTTATTACCGAGGTTTTTATCAATTCCTGTTTTTCTGTATTCCTTGGGAGGAAAAAATCTGTAGACTTTCAATGCAAATGTGATGGTTTTTATATTCCTTTTCAGAGAATAGTCCCATGGAAGAAGATACTTGACTGGAAGAAACTCTAACTTAGTACTTAATATCTTTTATCCTAAACATTCTACTCTTAATCCTAAAACAAACTTTAAGTGCATTGAGTCTTTTCAATTATCATATTCTTAGTTTACTTTTTTTTATTTTTGTATTTTATTAGGGGAATTTGGCTCTGTCAGGGAGGGTCAGTTGAAAATGCCTGATGGCTCTCTCCAGAAAGTTGCAGTGAAAATGCTAAAAGGTGAGTAAATCTAAATTTCTTGAACTGTCTTCCATGCCATTTTGTCACTATAAACCTTCCATTTTCTGAGTTTCTGTATTCTCACTAAACAATATATAGGTAGTTCTCGATTTACAACAGTTCACTTAATGACTGTTCGAAGTTACAATGGCACTGAAAAAAGTGACTCATGACCATTTTTCACACTTATGACCGTCTCAGCATCCCCATGGTCATGTGATTTACATTCGGATGTTTGACAGCTGGTTCATATCCTGTTGCAATATCCTGGGGTCACATGATCACCTTCTGCAGCCTTCTGACAAGCAAAGTCAATGGGGAAACCAGATTCACTTAACAACCCTGTTACTAATTTAATAACTGCAGTGATTAACTTAACAACTGGAGCAAGAAAAGTCATAAAATGGGGCAAAACTCACTTAACCAATTTCTCACTTAGCAACATAAATGCTGGGCTCAATTGTGGTTGTACGTTGAGGACTACCTGTAGGTGACTGTGGTTTACCTTCTCATTTCCCCTTTTCTTCAAATTGCCTATAATTGACACTAATTCCTTGAATGCGTATTTGTTTATTTCAATGTAAATGGCCACCCGTCTCACGAGTGCAACTCTGGGCAGTGAACACAGTTAAAAACTTCAATATAAACATAAAAAGTAGAGATATAAGCACAACGAAAGTATAGCATCAAAACCAACAGCCTTCAGACTGACACCTTCTAGGTGTGTGGCAGTGGTGGGTTGCCCCCGGTTCGCACCTGTTCTATAGAACTGGTAGTAAAACTGGCTGGAGGCTCCGCCCACTGACCCTGACATCATCAAAACGCTTCTGCGCTTGCGCAGAAGAGCATGCTCGCAAGCGAAGCGAGCATGTACGCGGCCCCGTTGCGAACCAGTAGTAAAGGTAAGTAGAACCCACCCCTGGTGTGTGGGTTTTTAATTCCCATTTGCCCCACTCAGTATAGTATAAAGATGCTGTACTCTATATCTATGGAGCTTCTCAGTCATCCAGGTCATGGTTGTCCCAATGGTGCTTTTTTTCAAGAGGCAACTGGACTTTCTTCTTTTTCTTTGAAGATGTTTTGCTTCTCATCCAAGAAGCTTCTTCAGCTCTGACTGGATGGTGGGAAATGGAAGGATTTGTCTGCAAGAAGTATAAATCCTTCCATTCCCCACCATCCAGCCAGAGCTGAAGAAATGTCTTGGATGAGAAGCGAAACCTCTTCAAAGAAGAACAAGAAAGTTCAGTTGCCTCTTGAAAAAAAAACATCTTTGAGTTGTATTCCATGGTTCCATTTTTTTTCATAATTTAAAAATGTTTGACAAATGTGATCCAAATCTGCACATTAGGACTGGTAAATTAAAATATAACTGGTAACACTGTTCATATCCAATCTATTCGTTAATCTTATTTGACTTATATTTATATGGCTTAGGACCTGGGTACCTACGAGACCGCCTTCTGCCACTGAGAGCCTCCCACCGGCCAGTACGCTCCCACAGAGAGGGGCTCCTCAGGATGCCGTCGGTCAGACAATGTCAAGGGGGAGAGCTTTCTCTGTGGGAGCACCTGCCCTCTGGAACGAGCTCCCCCCGGAGATACGGAGGTTCCCGGATTTACGTACTTTCCGCCAGGCCCTCAAGACTTTTTTATTTCAACAAGCCGGGCTGGCCTAACTTCTCCAATTGCTTAATTTTAATTTTAATTTTAAAAGGGGTATTTTAATTGTTGGGCCAAAATTGTTTAATATGTTTTTTTAACTGTTCTTAAATTTTTGTATGTTTACCTTTGGCTGTTCACCGCCCTGAGTCCTTCAGGAGAAGGGCGGTATATACATTTAAATAAAATAATTAATTAATAAATAAATAAATAAATAATAAATAAATAAATAAATAAATAAAGGCCAGTTCTATGAACTAAACAGATTGCATTGTGCCTGTCTTGAATTCTTATTCATTTAACTTGTTTTACTATTTTTTCAGCTTTTCCTATAGATTCCCAACTGTTTTTTTGTACATTCTGCTCCTTTTCTTGAATTTTCCCCCAATGAGTTTAAAAGAAATCTCAGTAATACTTCTCTTTATTTTAGCTGACATCTTCACTTCCAATGACATAGAGGAGTTTCTGAAAGAAGCTGCTTGCATGAAGGAGTTTGACCATCCACACATTACTAAATTAATAGGTGAGCATTGTCCCATTTAATGTTTGCACTAGAGGTCCCAAAGTACATATTTTACAATTTATTTGTAGAAGGAAATTTATTAATTTATTAAATCTATCAATATGGCTGCCCGTCTTACAAATCCAACCCTGGATGGCTACCAATCTGTTGAAACAATATAAGCAAAGAATTTTAAAAGCAGCAATGGTCACCAAGAATAAACCCAAATAAAACAATTAACAGAGGCTTTCAACTGGCATGTAATAGAAAATTAGAAGGAATAGTAGTTACCAATATATTTGGAGTATAGTCGTTCTCAGTACATAAAAAGGTAAAGGTAAAGGTTCCCCTCGCACACATGTGCTAGTCGTTCCCGACTCTAGGGGGCAGTGCTCATCTCCGTTTCAAAGCCGAAGAGCCAGCGCTGTCCAAAGACGTCTCCATGGTCATGTGGTCGGCATGACTAAACGCCAAAGGCGCACGGAACGCTGTTACCTTCCCACCAAAGGTGGTCCCTATTTTTCTACTTGCATTTTTACATGCTTTCGAACTGCTAGGTTGGCAGAAGCTGGGACAAGTAATGGGCGCTCACTCCGTTGCGCGGCGCTAGGGATTTGAACCGCCGAACTGCTGACCTTTCTGATCGATAAGCTCAGCGTCTTAGCCACTGAGCCACTGCTCCACTTTCTCAGGATGTATGTATGTATGTATGTATGTATGTATGTATGTATGTATGTATGTATGTATTTTTCTTTAGCCAGGTTCTTCCTACGTAAACCAAGATTTTTATGCAGCCCTAAATCTTGGTTTACGTAGGAAGAACCTGGTTAAAGAGAAAAGCCTACGAAAAGGAAAGATATATTTGTTGAAGACTATTGTTATTTGATAGTCCTTATTTTTCCAACATATATATTGGTTCTCAAAAGTGAATCTAAGAAAGAGAGGCAATATTATAAATAAGCTACAGAGTTGGAAGCAAGTAGTTGTGATAGCTGAGAAATATAAATGCCAGGCTGAAACCATCCTGTTGCTTTGGATGGAATGTTTCTGAGTCCAAATAAGAAAATATTCCCCAGTTTGGAGTTATCGTGTGCTATTTTTGAATGCTACCTGATCCAGATAAAAAATCAGCTTATTTGAAGAATGCCTTTTTGATACAGGAAGTCCTTGACTTACAACAGTTCATTTAGTGACTGTTCAAAATTACAATGGCAGGAAAAATATGACTTATGACCGTTTTTCACACTTATGACCTTTGCAACATTCCCCATGATCATGTGATCAAAATTCAGATGCTTGGCAACTGGCTCATATTTATAACCTTTGCTGAGTCCCAGGGTCACGTGATTCCCTTTTGCGACTTCTCACAAGCAAAGCCAGATTCACTTAACAACTGGGTTACCAATTTATCAACTGCGGTGATTCCCTTAACAGCTGTGGCAAGAAAGATCATAAAATGGGGCAAAACTCACTTAGCAAATGTCTCACCTAAACAACAGAAATTCTGGGCTCAACTGTGGTCGTAAATTGAGGATTACCTGTACTGCTTAAATATAATCATGCGAAGCAAATAAGAATAGATGGGATGGGTGCATGGATTGGATCAAACCAAGAGTTTAGAAATGCTGTCCTCTCAGAATGTAGTGTTATTTTCAGCAGTTTGTGAGGAGGGAGGTATGCTAAGTATTTATGATCATTTATTACAGGTATAGTGGTTCTTGCTAATTGCACATTTCTGTTCTCTCAAATCAGGGGTCAGTTTGCGTAATCGGCCTAAAGGTCGCCTTCCGATCCCAATGGTTGTCCTGCCCTTCATGAAGCATGGAGACCTTCACTCTTTTCTATTAATGTCCAGGATTGGAGAAAACCCCTTCGTAAGTTTTTTCTCTTAAGGCAACACTGAGATTAATTGATCTTCTATTGCTTACACTGTTATAAATTATTCTCATTCATTGATTTGTTTAGTTGGTTGCTTGCTTGCTTGCAGTGCTGCTTACTGTGTTTGCTGCTGCAATTCAAAAAGATTCTGAGTAGCTTACTTTCTCCTCTTCCAGTAAGATGGTTAAAAATTAAAATTAAAAATAAACAATAAATTAACTATTAGCAATTACAGCTAAAATTATAAAAGGTTTTCAGCATCTAAGGAACGAACATCAAAACACACCAATAAAGAGACTTGCAGCTTATATGAGCCGAGGTGGCGCAGTGGTTAGAGTGCAGTACTGCAGCTACTTCAACTGACTGCTAGTTCAGCAGATCAGCGGATCAAATCTCACCGGCTCAAGGTTGACTCAGCCTTTCATCCTTCCGAGGTGGGTAAAATGAAGACCCAGATTGTTGGGGGCAATATGCTATTTAGTATACTGTCTTTGGTGTAAGCCGTCCAGAGTCCTCGGAGAGTGGGCGGCATAGAAATATGAGTAATAAAATAAAAATAAATATCAGTTCTACTCTCAGAGATTTCTTGAACATCCAAGTTTTAATGGCTTTCCTGAAGCTTGTAAGAATTTAAGGGGGAAGCTAATCCAATAAGGAAAAGGGGTTGCATTTAAGAAAAGCTACCTCATGACTCCTCTCAAGAGGAGTCCTTGAGGGAAGAAATTTAAAGTGAATTTACTCTTAAGTCATCACATCACGCTGGGCAATTGGGGGAAAGTGCTATTTTAGATAATCAAGTGCTGAGCTAAGTAGGACTTTAAAAATATCATCTAGCACCTTGGATTCCACCTGGAACCAAACAGAGAATCAGTGCAGCTCTCAAAGTAGGATTGTAACTTGGGAGAAATTCAGTTTTTGAGAGGATGTATTCTGAACCAGTTGACGTTTTTGGGTAGTCATCAGGAGGAGCTCCCTGTAAAGCAAGTTGTAGTAATCTGAGTCTTACGTGGGCTGTTAATTACACACAATGAAAATGGTTAGCGCCTTTGAACATATAAAACGTGTGGGAAGTCACAGCTATTTTAGAATCCCCGTGCTATCTGCCATTAAATTTCCATTCCAGAAATGCTAAATGTGCATTGCAGGGGTCAAAAACAATGTGAGCCATGATGGCGCAATGATTAGAATGCAGTACTGCAGGCTAACTCACTGCGTGCTCTAGGAGTTCGATTCTGACCAGCTCAAGGTTGACTCAGCTTTCCATCCTTCTGAGATCAGTAAAATGAGGACCCAGATTGTTGAGGGCAATATGCTAGTTCTGTAAACCACTTAGAGAGGGCTGTAAAGCACTGTGAAGCAGTATATAAGTCTAAGTGCTATTGCTACTTTGTTGCCAATAGCAGTGAAAGTGCTCTTTGATAATTTTTATATGTATGCTGGGGAAAAGTCATGGAAGTATGCCTCTAGAAGAGAATATTTGCAGCTCAGGGCTGAACTAAGGAATCATGGACTCTCTGAGCTTCATTGTTTTCTTGCAGATGTTTCATTACTTGGTTTAGTAAAATCATCAATGCTAGAAGGGAGTGGGGTTTGCTCTCAGTTTATATACAAGTGACTTGCCCTGTCATTGTTGGTGAGCATATTTTTGGTGGTCTGAGTTGGTAGGCTCTTGATTGGGGTGTTGTTTTACAGCTTGGTTGTTGATTTAGTGTTAATCTTGGTGTTAATCTCTGCATATTTGGGTATTGATTGCTAGTGAGGAGGTTTTTTGGTCTTTTTCTTTTTTTTGATTTTTGATTCTCTATTTTGAATGGTATGTAGATGTTGTTTATCTCTATGTACCTTTTGATGGCTGATTTGTCATCCATCATGTCAGGCTTCCAGGAATTATTTAATATTCTTGGACTTAGCCTGGTCTAGGATGAAAAAAATTGTTATTTACTAGCACTGACCTTTGTAAAGTCTTTGCATTCAGACTGATAATGCTGCAATTGAAGTGCAATAGTGTTGTTTAGGGTTTTATTTTTCTCAGTCAGGTTACAGCATATGCAATGCTTGGATTAGAACAGTTGTAAAGACAAGATTAGAGTTTAAGATATTTACTGGGAGGATTTGAGACATACAAGAAAGGATTTTTTTAAAAAACCAAAACACATTCATTGATATTTGTAACCTACCTGTCACCAGTACATAACAGATATTTTGTCATTGCTGCCAGCTACTGTGCACAGCTAGAAACACCTAGCCATTGCCTGATGCCATGCTTCCCCCTCTGCAGTATTGGATGCTAAATATAAAAAAGCATTTGCCCCTGTGATTCCAGAGAGGTAGAAACTACAAAACGTGTCTTTCTTCACTGCTCCCATTAGGGAAACATAATAGATATTGGGTCTCCCAGATTCAGCCCTTGCCCAGATGCTGCTTATAGACAAAATAGCATTAGCATTTAGACTTATATACTGCTTCATAGTGCTTTCACAGCTCTCTCTAAGTGGTTTACAGAGTCAGCATATTGCCCCCAACAATTTGGGTCCTCATTTTACTCACCTTGGAAGGATGGAAGGCTGAGTCAGCCTTGAGGATGGTGAGATTTGAACTGCCAAATTGCAGGTGGACAGAAATAGCCTGCAGTACTGTACTCGAACCACTGCGCCACCACGGCTCTTTGTTACCTATTGTTACAGCACATGTAGCTAGATTTTTACAGCAGCGGAGAAGATCTGTCGAACTCTGATGGGCCAATATTCTGCAATGCATTTCCTATAAGTATTAGTCATTTATATTTCAGGTACTACCACTTCACCTGATATTAATAGATATTTTTACTTTGTAAAAATTTTAATTTTTGTAACTATTTGTAATTTTAGATATCACACTTAATATAATTTTAGTATATCTGATATAGGCTGCAACCTGGATTTAACATATTAGATGGTAGTTAGGTTATTTAACAAATGTATTTTAACTCTGTCTTAAATTTTATTTGTTTGTATTGGTCTTTGATCACAATAGACTGAATCCAAATTCGAAATTCATACTTGTACATTAACAGCCTATTGATTCTTGGGAGTGACCATTCTTTTTATAAGAAAAATCATGGATATCATTGAAATGAAGGAAGTTCTTGGGTGATTTTTCCTACATTACATTATTTGATCTTCTAGGAGCAAAGTTTTGCCAGTAGAGAAAACATACCGCACAAAGTAAAAAGAAGCTCCTTCTCCTGATGTCCTGCTTTTTATGTGCAGGGGATTTGTTGTAACTTGGCCTCTAAAGGACTAGTGGAGAGAACTTCTGCTTTCCATGTGTTGTTAATTCATTTATTTTTAAACACACTTTGTAAAAGACCGGCAAATAGATGGGGAAGTAATGGAGGGTAGTGACAGATTATATTTTCCTGGGCTCCAAGATCACCGCACATGGGGACTATAGCCAAGAGATTAAAAGACGCTTGTTCCTGGGCAAGAAAGCTGTGGCAAATCTAGACAGTATACTAAAAAGTAGAGACATCACCCTGCCAACAAAAGTGTGTTTAGTCAAGGCTATTGTTTTCCCAGTTGCAATGTATGGCTGTGAAAGTTGGACCATAAGGAAGGCTGAGTGCCAAAGAATTGAGGCCTTTGAACTATGGTGCTGGAGAAGGCTCCTGCAAGTCCCTTGGACTGCAAGGCAATCAAACTGGTCAGTCCTAGAGGAGATCAACCCTGACTGCTCTTTAGAAGGCCAGAATTCAAATTCTTTGGCAACCTAATGAGAAGGAAGGACTCACTGGAGAAGAGCCTAATGCTGGGAAAGATTGAGGGCAAAAGAAGAAAAGTACGACAGAGAATGAGGTGGCTGGATGGAGTCACTGAAGCAGTTGGCGTGAGCTTAAATGGATTCCAGAGGATGGTAGAGGACAGAAAAGCCTGGAGGAAAGTTGTCCATGGTGTCGCAATGGGTCGGACACAACTTTGCAACTAACAACAAAAGTGAAAGACCAAAATGGTTGTTTCCACAGTAGGATTTAAGATTTTCTATGCTACTTTTGTTTTATCACTTCTGGAACTCATAATGGCTTAAAATATTATATTTTCTTCCTAATAATCTACCTTCCTGTTGTACTTCTTTTTTTTTTTTTTTACAGAGTTTGCCACTTCAGACCCTCTTAAAGTTTATGATTCACATTGCTAGTGGCATGGAATACCTGAGCTCCAAAAACTTTATACATAGGGATCTAGCTGCTCGGAACTGCATGTAAGTCCACAACGCCCTTATAGAAGAGTTAAAGCATGCATAAGCCTATCTGTACCTGTTTGGGGAAGAATTGGGGCTGAGATTTAAATAAACTACTCGAAATCTTACTCTAAAATACAGGTAGTCTTCAACTTATGACCACAATTGTGCCCAAAATTTATGTTGTTAAGTGAGACGGTTAAATGAATTTTGCCCCATTTTACAGTTTTTCTTGCCACAGTTGTTAAGTGAATCACTACATTAGTTAATGTTAGTTAGCACGGCTGTTAAGTGAATCTGGCTGCCCCCTTGACTTTGCTTGTCAGAAGGCTGCAAAAGGGGATTACATAACCCCCGGGACACTGCAATCATCATAAATGTGAGTGAGTTGTTGAGCATCTGAATGTTGATCATGTGACCATGGGGATGCTACAACAGTCATAGGTGTGAAAAATGGTCATAAGTCACTTTTCTCAAGGTTGTTGTAATTTTGAACTGTCGTACAAGTACAGGATTACCTGCACTACTCACTTTGATGTTCTGATTGATAAAAGCAAACATCACCATATAAAATCCTTGACTTCTACACTTTGATTCTTCTTCAGCAAAATATTAGAATGATCAGGCATTGAAAAATCTCCTTCATATGATAGCTGATGAATTGGCACTGTTTCAGGGAATGCATACTTCCACTTTTCTCCCTTGTTCTAGAACGAACAAAAAGAATAATGAGAAAGGCAGGCAATTTAGGACATAGCCACCTGTATTCTTTAAGGATATTCATTTTAGCCTGGTTGCTGAAAGAGGAGCAGTGACCGGGTATGTCCCAATTTATTGAATTTAGGAAAAACCACCCAGCTGAAATTCTGTGCCATCATGCTGTTTTTGGTAGTAGATACTGTTAATGGGTTGTGAGAATAAACTTGAAAGATAGGAGGAAGAACCAGTCAGGGCAGCAGTCAGACAAGAGATATTTCAACCCACAGAAGGAATGGGGTGTGTGTGTGGGGGGGTGTAGGGGTAGAGAAAACATCTCAGAGGGAACCCTTTCTTGTTCTCTGAAAAGTAAAGACAAGGGAGGGAAGAAATGCTTTCAGACTTGAGAGATTCTATTACTTAACCTTACAATAAGGTTGGTATTAGTACTTACGTTTCTTGTTTAGACTACTTTGAAGGGCTGACAGATGCTTGCTTGCTCCCTGCTTTGCTCTACTCTTCACTTAACCTGTGGGTGACAAGCAGGAATGTTTCGGTGTAGCATTTCCTTCAAATTGAGCCAGCCATTGGATAAAGACAAAGTTGTTCCAAGGAAGAATATCATAGAGGACACAGCTTGATTCAGGGTTGGACCTTAGGAATTGGAAAATAGGAAGTTTTAGGTGTGTTTGCTGCCTTGAGTTACTTATAAAGTAATAAAGGTGAGATAATAATCAGATAGATTAGATTAGATTAGATTAGATTAGATTAGATTAGATTAATAGAAAGATAGATAGATAGACAGACAGACAGAACATTTACTTTCTTTTCTACAGCTTAGTTACATATACAGTACATATATGGAAGGGAAAATCCCACAATTATACCACTGCTTATGGCCTCTCCAGCTAAGTAAATGAGGAGTATGTAGTGTATCTGTATTCTTGCTGTATTTGTAAATAGATACTCTTCTAATAAAGACAATTTGTACTACTTTAAAATGCTTGGCACAATATATTCAAGGCAAAACTATTGACTAACCGAATTCTTTGTGGCCCTGTATGAGAAATATACAATGTTGCCGCCTGAAAGCAAGGATCCAGCCCCAGAATCCCTCTGGAAAGTGCCAGGGCTTTTGCGGTAGTATTAAATGCAGGAGGAGTAATTGTACTGACTGAACATATAAAATAAATGCGTGGGTAAGCAACATGAAATGAATCACCTACTTTTTCCCTCCTCAGAGCATAATCAGCTGTGAAATGTCAGCTCATGTGGACTAGTAGGCGGCCATTAAGCACTCAAGACTTTGGCTCAGCAACAGTCTGAGCATCTTTTATCTCTCTGACTCTTCCTGAGGAGCATGTTGCATTGGCACAAAGAAAGTGCTCTAGTCTGAAGGAGAGAATCTAAACCTTCCTATTCCTGTGTTCTTTCAATTGGTGCTCATTCTTCTACATCTCCTCCCACTCCCTTTCTTTTTTGGTCTTTGTTAGGCTGGATGAAAACATGAATGTCTGTGTTGCTGATTTTGGGCTTTCAAAGAAAATCTATAGTGGAGATTATTACCGTCAGGGCTCTGCCTCAAAGCTGCCAGTGAAGTGGCTTGCATTGGAAAGCCTGGCGGACAATCTCTACACAACTCACAGCGATGTGGTGAGTGGAGATTATTATTATTTTTTTGTCTTTTTGTGCATTGCTTTCGAAATTATCAGTGAGGTGAAGAAATATCTATTACTCTATTTCGTTGGCTATTTTGTTGTTTTGTGATCACAGTCATGCTTATTTTTGATGATCTTTGCACCATAATCGTTGTAGGTGCTGATACGGGTCAAGAGTACAAACCAACCAGACCACAGCACAGATTTATTCTGCCATATCATCCTGAACAAGATCATGAAAAGTGAATGTGCTGACTTTTGACCTGAATCTGCAGCTGCAACCATTTGTCTGCAAAACAATCAATCACAGAGATAATTCCTAAAGAAAATAGCAGCTTAATTCACACCTTCCTTCGAAACACCCAGTCGGCAGAAATGAGATCTGGATCTCCTCCAGTCAGTGCATTAAAGGTTTTATTGGTAGAATAGATTTTAGATTTTTAATATGGCATTTGTGATTGTCTATAGGACCCTTGATACCAATCAAGTTTAATGCTCTGTGTTTTTTTAAAAAACAACAACTTTTCATTAAAATTTATATATTGGGGAGGAAAAGGCTCAAGAATCATAGGTATTTCTTTATATGTTTGACTCCCATAGGCATATTTAGAAAATAAAATTGGAAGATAAATCTGTGCCCAATACGCAGCATTTTATGAAGCAGTTCATGCTCCAAAATTTGCAATGTGCCCTTTAGCTTGAAAACCTATGGATGAGATAGGGCAAATCTCCATGTTTTTGATCATGGAATGTTTTTGAAGCTTGCAGATATAATCTTGCAGGAGCATTTTGCATTGGATTTTTCTGGTTTCTATTTTATCACATCTGATTTTCTACTCTCTGTTTCCTTTGTGTAATCTTGTCCTTCTGTTTTATTAACAATAATGGTTGATTACATCATTCCAAGCTTGCATCTACACTTTGCTTAAATGCTGTACTATATATAAAATATAACAATGAATTATATGATATTGATCATGCAAAATCTTGTAACAGCAGGACAAGAAATACCGATTTAAATCCCTAATTGGGAGCAGAATTTCCATTGCCTAAGTGAAGTGGTCATTATGTGAAACATGTGGCCATACCATTTAGCGACACCCGTTCCGGTAGTAAAAATTGTGGTCATTAGGTGAGGGCCTCACACTTCTCCTACCCTGCCACGCTTGCCTCCACTTCAATTTCCTCCACCCTTCTATGTTTCCCCAATCCCTGCTCGTTTGGTTCCCCTGCCCTCTGTCATCCCCTGCTACCCCCAGCTGATGCTCACTGTCTTCTTCCTCCCACTGACGTGCACCTAGCTGAATTTTGAGCATGTGACTGCGGGAATGCTGCACTGGTTGTAACTTTGAGGTACAATCATTATCATTCATTCTTCTCCATCCTAATTTCAATCAGTCACTGAACGAATGGTCATAAAGCAAGGACTACCTAGAATGTAACATCTATAGTTCTCTGAGTTCTTAATGAAAAGGAAAGTGGACTGTATTTGCTAATCTGAAGTCTCTGTAGATCCCTTCTTGCAAGTATCAAGTCTTGGATGTTTCTCAAAAGTAATGCACTGTACACAATCACTTTAAGTACAAGGGTTCATGAATTCAGTTCCCAGGAGAATGTGTGAATTCCATAGTAAGATCTGTTCCATATAAAATGAAAACTGCCACATACTGCCTCCTGGTGGTCAACATAAGTAAAAACCACCACGCAGGATATACATTTTTGTACAGGAAAGTAAAGCCATTCTTTCATTATTCCACATGTATTTCTTTGGCTAATATGTATATTTATATGTACAGTATATTCTGGGTGATGATTTTGCTTATGTTGACCATCAACATAATACATATAAATTTATACACACACACACACAATTAAGCTAAAGAGTTCTAAAAAATAACCAGTTCCTGCAAAACACTACTGATTACCAGACGTTCTCTGAGTCAAACACAATTTCTTTTCTGTTCAAAATATATGTAATTCTTCTCCTTCCTCACCTCTTTTAATTCCAATTCAGTGGGCATTTGGTGTGACCATGTGGGAAATTGTGACCCGAGGGCAAACTCCGTATGCAGGCATTGAAAATGCAGAAATTTACAACTACCTCATCAGTGGGAACAGACTGAAGCAGCCCCCAGAGTGCCTCGAAGATATGTGAGTGGCTTACAGGCCTATTTTCTTACTTAGAGTTTGGCAAAAAACATCCAGAAGAATAGTCACGTTTTGAACAAGTTCAGTACTGTTTGAACAGGAAAACCTACTTACCAATGCACTATGGCTCTAGGAGTGTGATTGCATCCGCATACTTTTAATTTGAAAAAAAATCTGGTGTGCTTCAAGGAAATGTTTCTAAATTACTTTAAACAAGTATTTATTTATCACCTAAATAGACATGAAGGTACCCCAGTGTAACAAATGCTCTATGCCCAGCACATATGTTGTTTTGTTGTTGTATAATCACTAAGTCATGTGTCCATGACCCCATGGACTACAGCAAGCCAGGTCCCCCATCTCCACTATCGAGGGGTGGGCTTCAAAAATTTTAGCAAGGGGTCCTCTTCCCGGTTGCTGGGTGGGCATGGCCATGGTGGGTGCGGCCTAGTCGGCCTCCTGCACCACAGCGGTGGGGGGGGCATTTTTGCCCTCTTTGGGCTCCGGAGGCTTTTCTTAAGCCTCCGAGAGGATGAAAACGGCCACCCCAGGCTCCGGAGATTGATTGATTGATTGATTGATTGATTGATTGATTGATTTATTTATTTATTTATTTATTTATTTATTTATTTATTTATTTATTTATTTATTGGTTCGATTTATATGCCGCCCTTTTCCGGAGACTCAGGGCGGCTTACAATGCATTAAGCAATAGCCTTCATACTTTTGTATATACCTGCTAGTAGGGCTTTCGGCCCACCCCTAAGCGGTGTTATTTTTTATACAAAGTCAGCTTATTGCCCCCACAAACCGGGTCCTCATTTTACCTACCTCGAAAGAATGGAAGGCTGAGTCAACCTTGAGCCTAGTGAGATTTGAACTTGCAGTAATTGCAGGCAGCTGGTGTTACTTAACAGTGCTTTAGTCTGCTGTGCCACCAAGGCTCAGTTAGATTCTCTGGAGGCCTTCCCAAACTTCCGGTAGGCCCGTTTTTCACCTTCCCCGAGCCTCTGCACGCATCCTGCACTTACCTGCATCCAAAACGGGCTGTGGGGAGGGGACGGGAGGGATGGGCGGGGCAGGGCCAGCCAGGAGTGGAATTTGGGGCTTCTCCAAACTGCACAGAATCTTAGCTAGAGGTTCTCCTGAACCCCTGTGAACCCCCAGCAGCCCACCCCTGCCACTATCCCAAACTCCTTGCCCAGACTATCTAACCATCTCGTTCTCTGCCATTCCCCTTCTCCTTTTGCCTTCAATCTTTCCCAACATCGGGGTCTTTTCCAGTGACTCCTTTCTTCTCATTAGATGGCCAAAGTATTTGAGCCTCAGCTTCAGTATCTGTCATTCCAAAGAACAGCCAGGGTTGATTTCCTTTTTCAGAATATATAATGCATGCTTATTAGGAATGAGTTGCGTTTTGTGAAAGACATTCAGCATTTTAGTGTCCAAGAGTCTTATCACCTCATACATACAGAGGACCATAATTTTCCTTTGCTCTCAGTTTTGAAACTTCCCAGTTCTGGAAATTTTAAAACAGGATAAGCCTATTCTAGGGCTTAATACAGCATTGCAATGTATTTCCCAATTCCAAAATTCACAGATTTACAATGAAATTCACCGTCTTAGTTCAAGGGGATTCCAGGAATCAAAAACGAGGATTTGAAAACTATATGACCTACAGATTGCAGGTTATCCACCTTGCATTATTTTAATATTTATTTATTATTGCCTTAAATAATCCCAACTATAATTTAGTAAAGAACATGTGATTGTTTCACAATCATATTTAATTTATTTATACACAACGTTCAGTTAATCTAAAAAAGCGGACCTTGCACTTGTGGGAAAATGCTAGGAAGGAAAAAAAAATACCGCATTTCCCAAAACATAGATTTGTGCCTAATTAACACACAGAGAAGATGGTTCAAATACAGTAACAATTCAACAATGATGGACTGCAATGTAAATGAAGCCTAAAGGTGCAAAAATATGATGACATAAATTCAGTTTCAGTATCTTGAGAAATCATCCAGTGGACAGAATATGTATTTCTATCATTCATTAGCCTCCGTAGCCATTCCTATGATATGGAGCTCATTATCAGCAGCCATTTTCAAGAGGGAGGGGGAATGCAGATGGCTCTTCTTTGTTTTGTCTCAGCACTCTTGTCCTCTGACTTGCTTTGCAGCTACGATCTCATGTGCAGATGCTGGCATTTGGAACCCAAGCTACGTCCAAGCTTTGGAGCTCTGAAACTGCAGCTTGAAATGATTTTGGCAAGACTGTCATTGCTTTCAAACAGTCAGGACCCTCTTTATGTCAATGTTGGGAGATCCCAAGAAGCTTGCAGGAATGAAATCACCATGAATTGCCCTTTTGGAGCCTTGAATGGGGAAACAGGAGCAATTGCTGCTGTGACTAGTGACTATCGTTACATCATGAACCCGTCGTGCCTTGGAAACGATGCAGAAAGTGAGAGACTTCAGGATTTATATGACGGAGAAGCCCAGAGCCTCCTTTATGATCTAGAGATGGGAGCAAAACTATGTTAGCCCAAACAACAACAACCACAACAAAATAGACTTTACTTTTCCCTCCAATAAGATGTGTCTATTTTATGGTATCATTTTATGGTATCACCAAACAGAGACGCTTGGAAGCTGCTTTTAACCAACAGAAGTTGTAGTAATTAACGTCAGCTGCATCTGTGGCTTCTGACAGCTATTTCGGAGCTAACATCTCAAATTAATAGAATCACCTCCTGGCCTTCCGAGAGAAACCCTGCAATTGTCTGTGAAATGCAGTGGGAGTGGCCTCTGGACAGCCTGCTGAGTCGCAGTATTCTCCCTGGGAATTGGGGTTAAGTCAGGGGTGAAATGCTCCCGGTTCGGACCGGATCAGTCGATCCGGTGGCGATTGTGGCAGGTGGTTCGGAGAACCAGTAGCGATGGCGGGGTGAGGCTCCGCTCACCCGCCTGGGTCTTGTTATTCCTGGTTTTGACCAGGAAGTAATGTGTTTTTTACCCTCTGCGCATGTGAAGCGCACTTCCGAACCGGTAAGGAAGGTAAGTAGATTTCACCCCTGGGTTAAGTACTCCGTATATTTGGGGGTGAAGGGTTTTTGGTGTGGGGTTTCCCCCCCCTCCTAACAGATATGGGAGAAGAGGCATGTGCCACATACTCCAAACCATGGATATTATCTTTCAGAGCATGAGAAACAAAGAGCCTAATTTAGCAGTAGCTACCTCAGTGGTCCTCAAACTGGGTTCTATGCAGCTGCTTCTCTACAATGAAGAAACACTGGGCTGGTGTGTAGTTGGCAGAGGAAAGCATTCCTGGGAAGATAAGGAGATTGAGCAAAAGCGTTCCAGTTTCCCTCTTTTTCCCACAGGTTCTTATTTACCTGCCTTTTTCTTTTCTTCTTTCTGATTTGAATCATACAGATTCCCCCCCGCCCCATTTATAACAAAACTGACCGTGTGGGGAGTGTTAGAATTTATGGGAATAATGCAAAACGAATAAAGACACACCTGCATTGGAATAATTTGGCATTAAGATCAAAATCTTGGACCCATTTACCTGATAGTAATCCCACAAATTCAGTGGGATTTACTTATGAATAGCTATTATAAACTCTGCAAGTTCTGTCAGTGGGCACATGCTTTGGCATATAGCTTCACTTCTGTTTCCTGTCTAGCTACTACAATGATATGGCTAGCCTTGCTTTCCATATGTATTGCTTGGGAATGTGGGGGAACTAAACCTCCCCCAAAATTAAAAACAAAGTGCTGAGGGGTTTCATATGGGTTATAGGCAATGGTGAAATTCAATTTTTTTTACTACCGGTTCTGTGGGCGTGTCTTGGTGGGCATGGCAGGGGAAGGATACTGCAAAATCTCCATTTCCTCTTCACTCCTAGGGGAAGGATATTGCAAAATCTCCATTCCCATCCCATTCTAGAGCCAGCCAGATATGGTATTTGCCAATTCTCCGAACTACTCAAAATTTCCACTACCGGTTCTCCTGAACCTGTCAGAACCTGCTGGATTTCACCCCTGGTTATAATATATATTGCTTATAAGTAAGCAATAACATTTTTTGCTATGAAAACACACAATGTCTAAAACAATAAAAGGAGGTAATTCTTTAAAAACCTATTAAATTTGTGCATCTATTCTGGCACCTTTTCTTTTTTTAAATAAATATTAGCCCCTCTAAATAAATGATTGACTGACATCAATGGAATACTTAGAGGATTTTATTTATTTTTTTTGCCTAATACAAAAAAACAACTGTTTTCAGTTTGAAAGCTTGAGAATCACTGGCTTGTTAAATTAAACGTCTTCTTAAATGCTTTTCAGCTTTTCTGTAAAAATTAAATTCCATTGCATTATTTTGTGCCTTCAAGTCTTGACTTCTAATACAGCTACCTAATTCAGCAACATTCCAGAAAAAAGATTCCATTTGAAATCTGTGATTTCTCAGTTCAACTTGAACAATTAGTCACAATAGGAAAGTACTATATTATGTGCTTTCAAATTATATGTCAATGAATACATTTGTTTTTTCTAGCTATTTCAAATATAGTTTAAGCCTTAAGACTTGGGTCCCTAATGTGATGTCCAGAAGCAGCATTGTGCCTACCAGTACATTTCTTAACGTTGGCAAATATCTCTACCTTACCTGATTGTATTTATTTACATTCATTTAGTAAGCAACAATGATTGGAAAGTTAGCATGTTCTAAAACACAGCATCAGTGATAAATTTCTAATAATATTACTGGACTCTCAGTGGCTGCAACTTGGGGTTTTATTTTCCTTCTAGTAAAAGATGTTTGTGACTAACCTCATTTATCTTAGCAGCCATTTGATGGGAAAGCCTATAGTATTTTTTAAAAATGCTCACTGATTTAAAAAGGTTAAAAATGCTTAAAATTGTTAGCCATACTCTCTTTGTGTTCACCAAAAATATTTCTTCTTCCCAATTGTAGAAAATTAGTAATCTAGAATTTCTGTAATTCTAGTCATCAAAGAAATCCTCATGAGGGACCTTGACAAGGTTCTTTCTACCTATTAATTTACCTTTTCATTATCTTTTCAATCTTTTTTCACAAAAATGGGATTCTTAAACGTGATATGCCTCTAAGAATTAAGAGAGGAATTACCATACTCAGGTCACAACACTTAATCTATGCTATTCCATCTCTGCTTGAGTTCTTACACAGCCTTTCCCTACCCCAGCTCTTCGGATAAATATTAAATGTGAAGGTTAAATTCCATCACAAGATATTGAGCTGGGCTGATAGAAGAAATTGCATTCTATAACATCTGAAGCATTGCGAGTTGCAGAAGGCTCCCCCGTTATCAGCTTTCCGTGTAGCTAAGAAATAGAACCCACCGGAGTCTCTACAGATAAGACCATGTTTTGGTTTTACTGAGCCGTGGTGCCTCAGTGGTTAGAATGCAGTATTGCAGCTAATTCTGCCCACTTACAGGAGTTCGATCCTGACCAGCTCAAGGTTGACTCAGCCCTCAATCTTTCCGAGATCAGGAAAATAAGTATCCAGATTTGTTGGCAATATGCTGACATTGTAAACTACTCAAGAGAGTATTGTAAAGCAGCGGCCCCAAACTCTTGGGCACCAAGGACAGATGCCGTGGGATTTTTTTTCCCATGGACCAGTGTGTGTGTGCATAGTTTCATATGCTATCTATATCCTGTGCATGTGCAGATGAGGGTTCACTCACTTGGGTAGCCAGTTCCTATGGGGGTTGGGGACCCCTGCTGTACCACTATGGAGTGGTATGTAAGCCTAAGTACTATTGCTATTAGCTAATTATGCTACATTTAGGGGATAGTAAAAATGGTCCCCGCAAGAAAATTGGGAAAGAAACAATTTATTAAAAGGCAGAGGCAGTACTTGGCCTTTTCCTATTTCTATCTGTCTTATGGAAAAAATTTCTTAACTTCTACCACCAGATTCCTTAACCACCACAATGAACTATATTATAATGTTCATTTCCTTGTCTGCCTTGTTTGCATATTTAGTGGCTTTTTTTTTTTTTTTACATAAAAGCAGGGAAAAGCAATCCATCCTGGCCAGAAAGGGCAATAACAAGGATGGTTGTTGTCCAAAAGCCGCCTACACTGAACAAAAGCTGTGTGTATGTGTTTGAGAGCGACACAAACTGCTCCTATGCCTTATTCAACCACATTCCTTCATTGTAGGGACCTTTCTCCATGATTTAGTACCCAATGGAATAGAAGCTTCACATCATCACAACGCAATGTTATCAAAAGCAAGTCATTAATGTGGTGCATGGTAAAACAGGGGGCATGCTAATGATATAATTATGACAATAGTCCTGTCAATGATGTTAAAGAATTCTATATTTTATGTTCTGGCTTGAAGTGAAAGAGTTGGGATCTAATAATTATCCTGTGTAGCCCAGTTTCAAATATCATATTTGCATCTGAGTCTCAACCAGAAATAAATGTACTGCAATAGTTTATGGGTACTTACTTGATTGAATTAAACCTCCCTTCTATTAAACTTAAAAGAAACATAGGAGACTCTTTAAAAACTGCACGGCCATATCCAGGCTTCTTTTGTAATGAGTAACAATACCGTATGACTCCATTATACTGTACCTGCATACTAAGATCTGAATGCTTTTCCTTGTGTATTTCTCAATAGCAGAAAACTAAAAGAAAATCATGCACAATGAACAGATTCTTGTGGGCTTTGGGGAATCCTGATTTTTTTAAAAAAAGCGAGGGGGGGGGAATTTGAAACTGTATTGATTAAAAAAACTTATGTGAGCACAGAATCCTGATAATAGACTTGGAATGAAATTGGGATATGATTAGACTGACGGTAGAACAGAATGGAGAGAAAGATGTCCAGAGATTCTCTCCCCTTTTAACACTTGGCTAGTGCTTTGTTGTAGGTGTAAGAATTCAGTCTCAGTGAATTCAATTGGATTCACTCTCAGATAAATGCCTGTGGGGCAGCCATTCGGCAAGAACAGCAAATGTACATATAAAATCTAATTTTCTGAAGCATGTATCTAGTTTTTATGATTTTTTAAAAAAAATAAAATATGTACTGTGTCCTATTGACTGACTGATTATATGCTGTTAAATTGCTGTCAATTCTTAACAACCCACATACATATTCTCCAGGAAGAACTGCTCTCAATTTGGTCTTCCTACAGTGTACCCAATCCTACTGTAATTGAATCCATCTATCTAGTAATCATCCTCTTCTTTTTCCTTCCAGCATTAGGCCTTTCTCCAAACAGCTAGATATTTGCATAATTTGCCCAAAGTAGAATAATGGAAGCCTGATAATTTATGCCTCAAGTAAAAACCCTGGGTTGATTTGTTTGATGAAACATTTATTTTCTTAGCTGTCCATAGTATTCTCATGACTCTGCTCCAACACCAAAATTCAGAAGCTTCAATGCATCTTTTATTCATTTCACTTTGGTTGCTTTTTAAAAGCCCAGAGTAGAATTGATTACACTGATGCATGGAATCAATGGAATAATATAAAATGCATTGAATCCAATGATCATTTTTGTTTTTGCAAGATTGAATAGGCAAAATTGGAGCGTAAAATGAAATTATACAATCTTACTCTTAATACATTAATAATATACTACCGGTAGGATCCAAACAATGTGCTAAATGTAAACCATTCAAAGATTTAAAATGGGCTCAACATGATCTTGATCCAGAGCCTGGGAGTGGGGAGTAAAACCACCTCCAGGAGAAATGCTGTTTCAGATATGGTGATGAAGAAGGCATATCTCCTGGGTCCCCTAAGATGATGCTTCTTAATAGATGGGACACAAAACATATTTTTTATTTATTTATATCAGACGGGCAAAGAAAAGTAGAGACAAACCCACAAATAACTGGCTTCTATGGCCATACTGATGCCTGCATGCTGTTTTCTTGTAAAAATGCAGAAGATGGTTCAGCAGAATGACTAATTCTATCTACATTCTTCATCCTCAGACAAAATCTAAACTTCAGACCTTGTTCATAATATCTGGCCTGGTTTTTGTTTTTCTTTCTTCCCCTGATTTTAATGTCATATCAGTCTCATAAAGAGTTCTGAAGAACTCAAAAATGGGCAGGCCCTAAAAAATACCATCAAATTATGGGCTTCATTTTTTTATACAACTGAGATCTTGTGCTGATAAAAGTGCTATGACCTTTGTAATCCATAGTGTTCACACAGCATTTTCAAATTCTGTATTATGTAAGATGCATAATTTAATTCCTTTTTTGAAAATTGCATATGCAAGCAGTCCTTGACTTACAACCATTCATTCAGTTGCTGTTTGAAATTACAACAGTGCTTAAGGAAAGGAATACCACGTCATTGAAGTTGCAGCTGCTGCAACACCTCTATGGTCACATGATGAAAATTCAAGTGCTTGGCAATCTGCCCGTCCAAATGACCAGCCACAGGGTGTGGCAACAGCCTCTACCCACCTTCCTTCCCCCCATCCCACCCTGCTGGGTCCCAGAGGCCTTGGCCCTCCTCCCCACCCTGGAACATCTTGCTCTGCTTACCTCTTCAAGATTGCTTTTCTGAAAAAGTGCCTGGCTAATGAGATGCATGACCTTCCTACTGAACCACCTCATGCCATCCTGGAAGTGGGGACCATTCTGGAAGCGGATGCCATTCTCAAAACCACTCAGAAGAATGTGATTTTCCAAGTTGTGCATTCAAAATGTGTGAAATCTGCCATTCTGAAAGATTGAGAGAATGGTGACTACTTCCAGAATAGTGCAAGTCAGCATCCGTAGGAAGGCATCAGCTGGCCATTCTTTTGGAAAGGCAATGTTTGGAAGAGATAAGTGGAGCAAGACATGAAGGGGTGGGTGTGAAACAATATATCAGTTTCTTACAGTGGGGAAAAGGCCCAAGGCTGTGGCATCTACTGGGGTGGGAAGCAGTGCAAGGGTGCCTCGGAGTGGGGGAAAGCATGTGTGAGCTGGGGAGTGCTTCAGTACGGGCCTGGGCCAAGCCTCCCCAGGTTTCCCCCCCCCCTTGAGGCATCCTCACACTCTGCTTAACAACTGTAACGGGGAGAGCTGGGATTGTGGACATTGAACGAGACAGGTGGGAGCCTTAACTATTACAACGATTTATGACCATAATCCTGGGCTCAATTGTGGTCCTAAATTGAGGACTATTTGTATCCCAGATTTTTGAACCGTAACCAGATAAATATAAATTAAAGCTAGAAAATACATATACTTCATATTTTATTAATCTTTGTACAATATTCTAGATTACATTTTATCTGTGGGTCTTTCATTTATTCATTGGATTATTTCTAATTCAGGAAAGTCCCCTTTGGAAATTTACAAAACTCACAAATTTCCAACTCCAAAATTATTAGGTAGAGAAAAACAAACAAATATAAAGGGTAAAGTTAATACTCTTAACGACATTGGAAAACTAAGTAGAACGAAGTAAATGCTCATGCAAATTCACATAGGAGGACACATCTAATACCTTGGGCCACAGTTACCAGCTTTCGGCTGGTGTAATCGAGAAGAGCCTTTTCTTTCATGGCTCCCACCCTTGAGAACATCTTGCCACAGAGAATAAGATCTGCCGCCTATTTTTAGCCTTCAGGATACGCCTTAAAACCTGGCTATGCTGTCTGGCATGGGGCCCTGAAGGAGAAGCTATTGGCTGGAGGTAGTTAGTCACTAACAGAGAGGGCACCCTACCTTTTCACTCCAAACTCTCATTTTTTGTTTTAATTTTTGTAATTTTAATCCATTTTTATATTTATAATTGTTGAATGTTTGTTTTGAGTGGTGTGGTGGTGAAGACACTCACTTGCCATTCAGAAAGCTGGGAGTTCAATCCTAGATGTTTCTCTCCTAAGGCACAAAGAAAAAATAACTGCTGTGAACTCTGTGTGATGTCAGGAAGGACATCCAGCCAGTAAACACTCCGCTCCATCCATCGCCCTGACTCTACCCCAAATTAAGAGATTACAAGGTCATAAAAAGGGAGTTTTTAAAATCGTTGAATGTTTTATCTTGATGTAAGCCACTCAGAATTGCCTGAAATGCAAAATGGGCAGCAAATAAATTATCTAGTGCTTAAAGTAGGCTAAAAGCAAGAGGCCGTGAGTTCAAGTGCCTCCTTAGCCATGAAAACCAGCTGAATGACCTTGGGCCGGACACTTTCTCTCAGCCCAACCCACCTCACAAGGTCGTTGTGTAGGAAAATAGGAGGAGGAAGCATTGTTGGATATGTTTGTCACCTTGAGTTATTTATAAAAATAATAAAGGCAGGATATAAACAAATAAAAATAAAAGTGCTGGTGGGGACTGAGGGTTGATACTACTTAATAAAACAAGAGAACATTATTTGTTTTACTGGAAGGGAAATACCTGATCCACAGAATTGGAAGGTGATAACTTTACTCTGCATGAAAAAGCCCTTTCCTTAAATTATCCCATATTAAATTGATGAGGATAACAATTCCCCAGTCTCAATGCTGAGGTAGTACAGATTTCAGAGTAGGGCATTATTCTGCCTCAATAATGAGGATGAGACAAAATCTGCTGGGATATTTTTGTGTTGTCCCACAAACTGGAGGAAATTGCATTCACACAGCTCTGAGGAAGAGCAGTTGGGAATCAAAAGAAGTGTTGGCTGTCTGGCAAATTGCTATAGTGATGATCAAGAAAGAACATTCTGTTACAGTTTGCTGAAGGCAAGGCATAGTTCTCAATAAATGCTCCAGACGCGTCTTACATTGCTTAAAGAACTCCTAAATTAAACTATGACATATTTTGAAAACTGGCTGAAAATACTATTGCCTAAAATCAATCTTCATAATGTTTTTTCAGTGTCTGTTCTTCAAATCTTCATAGATTAGCATGTTTACCGGCTTAAGCTCCCACGCTACATACTACCCTAGATATAATTCTTCTGAATATATCTGCCAAACATTGGATTATTCTCTTGCGATATAGAGAGCATTCATGCATTCGATAATTATCCAGGAAAAAGTAGTGTAGCAGTTTAATAAAAAGAAAGAGGAAATAAAGAAAGAGAACGTGTATACTGGTCTTAAGATCAGATAAATGGGGAAGGTTGAGGTAAAATCTGGTGAACAACCTCGTAAAAAACCTTGCCAAGAAAATATTATGGGAAGGCTCTCAAATAAATCAGGTATGGTGCCCAACAATAGGACCTCCCAGGCCCAAAGATACCCAAGAAGCTACTGGGGAAGCACAAGATTTCCAGTGAATAATCAAACCTTAACAGCACACCTGGGGCAAATGTAGCAGGAGTCCCAGATGCTAATGCAGCCATTGGTGAAAGCAAGAGTCTGTGCTACACAAAGACAGATTGGATAGCAATGCGGAATGTCTGGCAAATGAGCAGGGTAAATTGGATATCATCCAATAGGAGATGATCCAGTTGAAAAATCAACATCCTTGGCACCACTGAGATACACTGGATAGAAAATGGATATTTGCCATCTGAGGAATTCACTATTTATTACATGACACAATTCACTATTTATTACATGACACCAGGAAAACAAATGGAGTGACATTTATCGAAAGCAATAAATTTGCCCAAGGAGTGGAAAGTTTCTTGATAGTTAATAATTGCATTATGGCCATCTGAATCTGAGCCAAGCTCCTCAAAATCACAGTTGTCCAAGTCTATGCCCCAATTACTGATGCGGCAGAGCATAGAGGGTTTCTTTGCCAGCATAAAAAAACTTCTGAAGCACATCTCCAAATAAGACATTGTTTATATTTTTGTGATTTCAATGCAAAAGCTGGCAGCCAAGCAGAAAAGAGACATCGCTGGCAGCTTTGGATTTGGGGAGAACAGTGAAGGCAATTATTTGGCTTAATTTTGCCATGAAAATTGATTTTGAATCATGAATATCTGGTTCAAATAGCAAAGTGTTTCTTATACACTTGGACCTCACCAAATTAAGTGCACCGTAATCAGATTATGGCCTATGCAGCCATCAATGGTCTAGTTCACTGGCAAGAAACATCTGGATGCTTATTGCAGTTCAGATAATGAATTGCATTCATTAAG